CCCTTTTGTGGGTTTGCCTGGGACATCCACCCTCAGGGGCCAAATGCAACTGATACATAGGAGTCTGTAACTAATGCTGGCAAGGGAGGCTTGGTCACAGCCTTCGCACTGTGTTTGGGGAGGGGATCTTCACCTAATTTGTTCCCAACGTGTCTCCACTACAGTGCAGGACATCGTGTTTCAGCTCCAGCGTTTTGTCTCCACCATGTCCAAGTACTACGATGACTGCTATGCCGTGCTCCGAGATGCGGATGTCTTTCCCATTGAGGTGGACCTTGCCCGCACTACCCTCAACTATGGGCAGAAGGACATGTACACAGATGGGGCAGAAGAAGAAGAAGGAGGAGGTGGCGAGGGAGAGAGTAGCAGGAAGGAGGACACAAATGGTGAAAAGCTGATTGATGATGCCTGAATGTGCCAGTTTGACTAGAGGAAAAATCTTTGCAGACTGATATAAAAACGTGTATTTCACATGGCGATTCATCCTCCGTGACTTTCTGTGTATGTCCAGCCTGGGATTCCTCCTCTGCTTTGGGTGGGGGTTGCTGGTTGGATTGGGACCAGCCTCTGCTGTCCTCTCTCTTCCCTTGCTTGTTGCCTGGATGTTTCTTTTTTTCCCCCCACAGACCTTCTGTTGCCCAACTCGGATGCTGAGGTGTGGGGAGGAGAATCTCCTACCCCATGTGACTCCGTGTGCAGACAGGACACTGCTGAGTGTGCGGGATGCACCACTCCCCTTCAGCAAGTCAAAGCCAGTTTTAAAAAATCCGGAGAGAGATGGCTACGAATGGCAAGAACAGCCCCCTACTGGCCTCCTCTTGTGCTATGGGAAAGTGTTAGCACCAGCATCGTTTTCTTCACCACATTGCTGACTATTCTGGAGCTTCCCATTCTCTGGCCTGTATTGATTTTCCTCTGTCTTGTCCATCTGTCCCCATGGGGGTCCAGGGCATATTCTTGTAGGATGATCACTCCCACCAATCCCAGCTCTCTGAACCACTGTCCTTTAAGAAGGAGGAGCAAGTCCAAAGTGGTGTCTAGAACTAGTGGTTGTACGTATGATCAGCTCCTCCTCCTCCTCCTCCAAGGGGCTAGGGGGAAGCTGTCAAAGTAAAGGTTAGTGGCTACCTGGCATGCTGAGCTGCTGCAGTCCTACTGCAAGGATTTAGAAGTCCTTCTCTGTCCAGCTGTTTCCCTGGCTACCGTCCTCTTCATAGTCCTCGAGTTCCTGCATCGCTGCCCTGTCTGTAGGCACATTCTGTAGGTACATCCCCGGGCTAGAGTCCTCCAAGTTATGGCTGTGCCCTCCCCTACAGAAAAGAGGGAACTGGTTCAGGAAGGAGCCCTCGCAGTCAGCTGAGATGCTCAAGCAAACATGCAGGGTCTGAGGCAAACGGGTTCCTGAAAATCACAGCAAAGCTGCATATGCTTCCTTTCAATTATTCTCCTCTCCTCTGGCTGCTTGCAATGGACAGTAACAAGATGTGCTGCAGCCAGTCTTGCACACTCTTCTTGTGCAAGGGCCAAGAGGAACAACCCTAGAACTGCAAAGGAGATGTTTTAGCCTTAAACTAGAGAGGAGAGACAGAAGCCTTGTGGAGAAAGGAAGATGTTGTCTGCGGGCAGGGACTTTGAGATTATGAGTGCAAAGCATTGAACTGCATACCACGCTCTGCTCTCCTCTCTACACAACCATTTTGTGCTGCCTTTGGGCCAGCCAGAACCAGTAACGTCCCATTCCCCAGCACGAGGCAAAGGAAAACCAAGGTAAGTGAGGCTTTGTCTTTCCTCCTTCCTTTTCTCTGCTCCCTCCATCTTTGTGGGCTGATCCCAGATCTGGACGGCAGCTTTCTCTTTTAGCAGGCAGCATAACTGCCAGCAGTGGTGTGCTTCTTAGATGCAAGGGTTTTGACTTCTGTCATTACGTTCTAGTGGTAGTGAGAGAAGCTATTTAAGGACATTCATTGATGAGTGAGATTTTTGTTTTATTTTTCTTTTTGATTTGTTTCTGGAGCCTTGCCATTTCTGTGGGTGCCTGGAAGAAAGTCATCCATGGTCTAGCTGCTCTGGAAGACTTAAATGGACTTTACTGTACTTACTGTTGTCTCTAATAAAGAAAAATGTGACATTTTGTTTCCTGTTCTCTGGAGTTTTCTTTAGTGAGATGTTTGTTCCTCATCCACTGATATTAATCTTAAAATATAATGATGGAGAGTGTCATGTGATGGCCAGTTTTTTCATGCTCATACTGGTGGCTTTCTCTCTGCCAAGACATGGTGGTTACTGCATGGGTACCCATTTCTAAAGGGGAAGATTACAAATGCTGCAGCAAGGCCATCTATCCACGTAATACCAGTTTCTCTACTGCTCTGCAGCTTAGTCTCCTAGGGGAGCATCAGCTCTGTAAACCAGGTAGTTACCTCAGCTGTGTCCTGTGCCATCCTTACACTGCTCCAGGGCCAGCTTCTCCACAGAGCTCAGCTGTTGCATCACAAGCTTGAGCTGATACTTAAGTCCCTAATCCTCTTTCAGAGCTGTTTGTTGTGCCACAATACGGAGTAGCTAAGAGGAGCAGAAAAAATGCCTTAGTGGAGCCTGCCTGGAAGCCAACAGAGCAAAGCAGAAGGCAGCATAGCCAGACTTTTTTTGCAGCCTGACTGGCAGAGGTTGACAAACCAGCTGCCTTAGCACCCCACCAGGAGTGGTACTCAACCAGAAGCAGGTGCTGCACAACACCGAAATATCTTGGAAACGGAGGAAAGAGCAGTGTTGAAAGGAGCACAAGGCCTGGGTCAGCACACTTTGAATGGTGGGTGTATGGCCTGTGTGAACCCTGGATCCTGGGGCGGCAGGAGATGGTCTCATTTCAGGGGTAAAACTCTTCTCCCTGAGGTGGTATGCTTTGTCCCAGGCAGGGCTCTACCCTGAGCAAAGTGTGATGTTGCAATTATGGGGGTGGGAAGGAAGAGGGCTGAGTATCTTCCAGCACAGTCTGCAGTGAACTTTTGTACCCCAATGGCTTTTATGCGTTTTTGTGACAAGATTTAAGATAAAGGAGCGGGAGGCTTGGTGGGAAATGTTGTGTGGTGACAAGGAAAGAGAGGGGATGTTGTTCTAGTGACCTGCCTGGCACTAACAAGGTCAGTCATGTTCAATCTGTGGGCCTTGGACCTCTGGGAAGTTGCAGGCCGCTTCTTGAAGCGGGGGGCTGGTAACTAAGGAAAAGCTGGCCTGGGGGAGAGCAGTGTTCAGGTGGCTTGGGAAGGAGCTGTGCTCTGCTTGGTTGAGTGGAGCAGGAATAGTGATCTTACCTTTAGGGGGAAAAAAGAAGTTGGCCAACAGGTGATGTAATGACCGCAGGGCTCCATGACCTTTGCTGCTGCTTCTCATTCTGGAGCTTAGCATTCCGGATTCGTTGTGATGCTTAGTCTGATTTGGGAGGTTTCTAAATGGGTTTGAATAGGAATTTAAACCCAGTCAAAAGTCACTGACGTGACTGGCTCACAGTCAGAGCTAAGAAAGGTGTTAACAGCCATGGTGGGACCAGGCACCGCCCCATGGGATTTCCTTTCTCTCCCCCACACCTTCTTACAGCAGCTTCATTTTGCTCATCCTTTACTGCTCTCTGAGAGCGTCTAGACTGAAACTTTCCTTCCTGTCCTCACACCCCAGCTGGGTTTAAATGGCTTTACAGGTCCTGCAAGCTTCCCCCATTACCCATTACTTTGTAACCAGGCCAGAATGGAACGAAGCACCTTGTCTGATGGTTTCATGAGCTGCCTTCACTGTAGCACTCTGCTGAGTTTCTGATCCCTTGATGGAGTAATAGGTTCTCCCAGGGCCTTTGAGGTGAAGCAGTTCAGGAAACCAGAATAAAGAGCTTTGGCCAGGGGTGTTTATAAAAGATCCAGGTCTAAAGTAGATTAAGAGCGGT